AATATCAAAAATGGTACCCTTGATGGAGGCACCTGGTAAAAGTGGCATCATATTCAGATGAATTCCCAGAACCCTGGAATATGTAGCACAGCTTAACCAATTTATTGTATGGACACCACAAGACTAACTTTTCTGGGTAAAGTTTGGCCATGTTGATGGTAACCATTGATCCCCAATCACCTCCTTGAAGGTAGTACTTCTTAAACCCAAGTCTCTCCATTAGCTTGCGGAATACTCGTGCGCATGCTACTTGGCTGAATCCTACAATTGGTTTTGGAATAATAATGTCATTTTGCTAAAATATAGCCCAAACCAGTTTTCTTCGGTTGGTCAGACCATCCATACCCCGGTATCGACGGTGCAATGACTTCAAAGGCAACCTACAAAAAACATCACTTCATTTGGATTTATGTCTGTGCAGCAAATGTGTCAGTTTCATGGACATTTGTTTTACTAAACTGCATTAATTATTTCCATAAACAAAAAGAAATAGACCTTTTCTACAATTTACAAATTGATCTAACATAAATTCTAGCTTGATTGGTATTTAAATCGCTAAACTCAAGTTACCTCGGACTCGATTCCATGCTTCTTAGGATCAGTAAGTATTGGAATAATTTTATAAAACTCAAAGACGTTGCCAGGCCAGCCGTGAACTATCAGGAGTGGGACCACCTTCTTATAACCAGAAGCAGCTGGCTCTCGAATGAAATGAACCTAAGGCTCATACGATTCATACTTTGAACAAAGAAAAACTAAAAACATAGTATAAACGTTACTTTCAGTCCTTCTATCTCCGTTTTGAATTGCTTAAATTGATTTATGATGCCTTCGTATTTTTTCCAGCTATAGTTGTCCATCCAGTATTTTCTGAACACCTCTAGTTCATCGCTGTTGAATCCATACCAGAAATCATTGGAATCTTCAAGATGTTTGTGAGACACGCGAGAAGTGACCAATCTTCGCTTGAGGTCCTAGAGATAATTTATCAGAGGGCAGTCTAAGTTTTACTGTATATTCATTAACTGATCAATTAGTCAACTGATTAATCGATAATCGATTCTCCAAACATAGCACGTTCAATTCTCGCGTCATCCTTCATTCGTTTAATTTCACTTAAATCACTCAATGACTTAACTCTTCTTAAATCATTGATTTGATAAATGATTTCATAAACATTAATTTTCATTCGCTCATTCACTCATTCATGCATCCATTCATTAATTCTTTCATACATCTAATTATGCGTTTACCCCGTTCGCATTCGTTCGTTCAATCGTTCACTCATTCGCTATCACTAATTCTCATTTAACCATTCTACCATTCAGTCACTCATTCATACATTCATTCATCCACACAATGGTGTAAAACAGTGTTACGCTTCTGATAATGGAAGTGTTGGCCGAAAAGAGAAGCATACAGAAGTTTCTAAATTTTTGAAACAAGAATGTTGAATAGCGACTCAAACCTCAAGAACGTCTTCGGGAACGTTGACAGTGAACGGATGTATGATAGGATCGTCTGCTCGA